TGTGCTGCTTGATGCCATACTGCAGGATGATGACCCAAACACAGGAGACACTGTTCGATCGCGAACATAACTCTACGAGCAACAAGCGATGTATCTTCCGTTCTTAAAGGATTACTGCGCTCCCATGCTATGTATTTCTTCCATAATTCAACCTAAACGAAATACATTAATATATTATGCTATTAATATATTATTATACTAATATACTATAAGATACTCCCCAATGTATTATGAAATTCAATCTGATATTATTAAATTATTATCCATATGCTCAAACAGAAATTAATAAAAAAAATAAAAATGTATTTATATACAAATATAAAATAATGTATTACAAAAAAATATATATATACATACATACATATATATATATATATATATATATATATATATATATATAATTGCTTTCTATAAAAAAAAATAATATGCTAGAAAAAATGTACCTGCTTGACTTCTTCAGGATGACCAGTTGGTGGAACGCTAGGAGCACTCCTATTCAAACCTCTCGTAACTGCTTCCAATTCTTTAGCGACGCGTCTTGCATTCATATAATCTCTAGATCTTTCAATTGCCATTTTCTCCGCGATTATTGGATTAATATTCTGCTCGAATGCCATATAATCTTTCCACAGTTGTTCCATATTTATCATGGGATTAATAACACCTCGTTGATAAACCTATATGGTAATTATTATAAATGACACGAGTATTAGATATAATTTTTAATCATAAGACACATTTAATATATTAATGTATTACCTTTCGTACAGCACTGATTTTCTGATTTTCGGCATATGATCCAACTGCTTCCACACTCTTCAAAAACATGACGTAATCATTCCAAATGCTATATGAATGAATATCCATTCCAATTTTATCTAATGCAAAGTCATATGCTTGTGCCATCTTCTCTCTAAAAAAATATTACAATCAATTTTTTTTACTTTAGAAACACAAAAAAGATAAAAATTCAAGAATTCAAAAAATATTTGCAAGTATATGTTTAAAATAGCGATTAATATAAAAATATAATTTTATAAAAGATATATTTTTATTTATCGTAAATCAAAATACGATATATCCATGTACTTACTTATATGTAGTTAGACTTGCTTTAGTTTCTTTGACATAAGAAAGATATAGTTTCCACAATTCAATATTTAAAATTTTCATGAGGCACCTTTGGAAAAGCTGTTAGACAAAAGAGACATTTTAGAAATATTGTAGCAGTTAGCAATAATACGTCGAAAATATAAGAATTTATTCAAGTTTTGTTTCCTAAAGGAAGATATATATGCATATATATCTGCCAAATTACTTACCCACAAAGGCAAGTTTTATTTACACATAGCTAAACATTTGTAATGCATAAACCACGAAATATATATATTATACATTTATTATTGTAGGAAATAACAGGCAGAATTTATTAAGAAAACTTTTAATAATACAGTCACCATAATAAAAAACAGTGTTTATATGTATAAAATAGGATAAATAATAATGCACCAATGCATCATTTGAGAATAGTTTATTGTATAAATATGATTTATTAATAATAATGAGAGATATTCATGATATGTTTTATATATAAAAATATATATTATATATGTATTGTATTATATATAACATATAAGTGCCCCACGAAATAAAAAAAATTTATTTATTTTCTGCATGTGGGGCTAATAGTAGAAGATTGAACCTATGCGGGATCCGGAAATGAGTGATCCCAAGACAATATAAAAAATTAAGACAATGTGAAGCAGCATAAGATGATAATGGAATATGCTAATATTAAAATATTTTAAAATAAATGAATAAAAACAATATATGAAACTATATATTTATATATATAATTACATATATAAAAACACATAATCAAATATTTTATCACCTTATACTACCTCTAAAAGTATTCACAATATTTGAGCTTTCATCTATGTCAGATTTTCTCAAATATTGCTAAGAGGAAGGGTAAAGAATTCTTTATACTCTTGATCGAATAAAACAATGATTCATTATAAGATATTCTTCAATGTACGATAAGATTTGACCCGATTGAGAATTTGATATAATATAAATACAGCTCGATTCATATTAATAATATTATTAGCTATTTGGTTTGCAATAATATTTATATATAATATCTTAATTTAATACTTTTAAGCATAAATAAAAATATATATTGCAGGAAGGAATATAAGGCTATTACATTCAGAAAGTTGTCTTCTTCAGATCATATTTTTTACATAGCAGTAATTATTATTTTCAATGAATAAACTTTATACAAATAATGCAAATGGTAGTCAAAGAAAACAACCTCCCAAATATATTAACAGATTGATTATTAATCAATGAAATAATTGACTCATGGTGAAATAGTTTTTTATTCACCTCACATAATATGCAAAGTGCTTAGAATCACATTATATGATAATATTTGGACATTGCATGTTAGTAATATCTTAAAATTCTAGCCTGTTATGCTACAGCGAGAAAAGAAAACAAAGACATCCATTCCATGAAAGTAGTATAATAAAATAATTAACTCTATAAAGAAAAGACACATGTACTAATAGCCTGACTAATGAATTAAATAAAAATGATATATGAATCGCATACAAAATGTCATTCTTTTGTATTTGCGAACACACATTTAATTGTAATGAATTAGAAATAAACTTTTTGATACTTTAATTTATGATATCTTTATAGTAGTACTTTGTATTTATCCTTATTTTATTTATCTGTATAAACTAAATTTTTTGTGTCATTTTTGGGAATATGGAACTAACTTTTAATAACATATAAATATACACATAAACTTATTTTCACTATAAATATATAAATCCATAAAATTGATGTTAACATACCTTTTCCACTTTTTCAAAGTTCCGCATTTTCATCTGGACAAACAAAAAATATATCAATATTAATAATAGCATATAATAAATTATTTTTAAGAAAATGATTATTTAGAAATATGAAATTTACTAATTTTTTATGCCTTTTTAAATACTGTAATATAAAATGTAACACTTTTTATAAACAAACAATTTTTATAATCATTGTATTATTTTGTAAAAGTACTTTTGGTCAATTACCTCCTGTTCTATATAAATTTTCCAATAACGTCCAGCTGATGGAAATACTGAAACGAGTTTCTCGAATACTGGTCTCACTTCTGTGATTGGTCTATTCTGTGCCTCTCTGATAAGAACACTCCATGCCTCCAAGTCATATGGTGATTCATCAACTGTTTTCTGAGCACGTTGTAACTTTTCATTTCCCCAATCCTACAAAGAAATTTAAATTTATGTGTATATATATTCTTCATTTCTTTCATATAATTGGACATGTAGGAAAATAATATTATTTTGCAGAAAAAGAATATACAGAAATTTAATATTAATTTAATATATTAAAAAAGTTCTTTTCAAAAAAGAGAGATATCACATATAGTATAAAATGGTGCATATGAATATAAATATGTGTATTCTTTCTTTCTTTTATATTATTTCGTAAGCTTAAAATGGACAATTTTATCAGAATCTAATGAATATAATGAATGCAATATTATTCAAGCAAAAATTAGAATGGGAAAAATTGATATAAAAATAAATGATGCCACATGGATAATCAACAAATAAACCTCATTGAAAGCGAGGTTAGAACGCAGGTCAAGAAATCAAGACACGCAGCTACTTACAAATTCCGTTTTTTCTTCTGTCATTTTATTTCCTGATCGTAGCTGATTGTACGCAAAATCTGCAAAATAATCACGCGCGAAAGAAGAATTATTTTATTCTAAACCACTCACACTACACGAAATTACGGAGCAACTCGAGATCGCGGGTATAAGACTATAAGCAGAACCAGAACGTACATATATCGTACAACACAGACCGAATGTGAATGAATAATCTAGAGGAGCGACGTATGCAGCGTTTCCTGCACGCACGATGCAGCGACACCAGAAAATAACACTAGAGTCTAAGCAGCCAATCAACGTTCAGCTTTTCCATACATTATAGTGATCATACGTGCGATTGGCCGATTTTATGGCTTCCTTTTCTTGTCACTATAATTAACTGTGAAATTTTGATAGAAAATATATCAATATATATGATAATTAAAATTATAAAACATAATAATTAGATTGATGAATTTTCCTCGCAGTCACGTGAGTCTTACGAGGAGTGCAAAAGAAAACGCCCCCGGGTGGGCTCGAACCACCAACCTTTCGGTTAACAGCCGAACGCGCTAGCCGATTGCGCCACGGAGGCCTTTGCTTTCTAGGTCGCAGTTGTCTACAAAATAAAAAAACAGCACAAAGGGTCCTTATCAATTTTTTATATGCAATTAAAATTAATTTATATATATTTATTTATTTATATTAAAATAAATAAAAATATATATATATATATATATATATATATATATAGATATATTTATATATATTTATATCTTACAAAATATCTTTATAAAAATGTTGATAACTCTATTAAAAAGAATCTTAAGGATAGGCAACAACTCTCTCTCTTTTATAGCTTCATGAGATACGCTCCATATTATATGAAGGATAGAATCTAGTTTCTATGTTTCTTTATTCTATGCTCATGCACGTTTAAAAATCGCGCGTAATAGTTTTTTGCAGAACTTGAAAATTCTATCACGTTAATAGTTTCGTCGTAAATGTTAATAAGAGTGAGTTAAGATAAATGCCAGTAAAAGAGAAATGTGATTAAAAAAGGAAATATATGTCTTCACAGTAGACAAAATAATTGTTAATTGTAGTATTAGCGAAAGGATAGAAATAATTGACAATAAAATATGTTGCATCTCATTAGGTTATTCTAATGTTTATTTTTCATGTACTACATAATATTTATACTTTTATTTCACGTTTTTGAATTGATTATAAATTAAATATTATATTTGCTACATTAATTTCTTTTATTTTTGAGCAATAATAACACTTCATTTTTGCTATGTTTCAGGTTACCGAAGCGAGAATTGAAAGTTACTACCATCTGAATGACAGTCACGACCGGATCAAACAGTGTGAGTACGAGTTTGCTGATCAGTTTTGGAGTACAGCTTTTATTCTGATGCCAGGTAAGTACCCACCTGTCACGATATTATTATATCTTTATTCAAACTATATGAAGGCGGTACCCATAATTTTACGGATAATAATGTAATGACATCGTTGCTAAAGAAGCTATTTCAATAGAAATAACAGAAATACATCTTTATATGATACAAGCTTTGAAATTCAGATCAAAATTTCGAGAATTATATCAAAATTATTGTTAGCGATAAATCAAATATTTAAGACATATCTTAAGAAATATAAAGTAGAAATTCTTTCTTTCTCTTTCTCTCTTTTCTGTACTTTGTGAAAAATAATCATATTTAAAGCATAAAAAAATAATTTGTTCATGAGATTAATTTTTATTTTTGAATCAGTCTAATTAATCTCGTTGCTAATTTAATAGTACAATAATATAATAGAGAAACAAATGATGAAAAAATCAAGGATCGGGGATGTTTAAATTAAGACGGTAGTCGCACGGGCGAGCGGCAAGGTGTCGATAATGAATCTCCACGTTAATTAGCCTCCGGCCGGGCGAGGCGATAGGTGGTTCGTCGTGGCATACCGATATCTTCCTCCTTGCCAGTCCTGAGCGAAGTAAAGCCTAACTGAAACGTCACGCCACTTGTTACTCGTTAGTGTGCACGATGCCATCTTTACTGGCGGCCCGGTTACCTCGCCTCCGGTAGCCGGTATCGATATCGGCGCACGACCGTGTAATTAACAATGTTCCTCGGCTCTTTACCTGCTCCAATGAGACCTTGTTTCTGGAACGTGGACAGATTTTGCGACGCGACTTATCGCCGAAACTGCCGTTAAATCGCGAGGATGAACGCGTGAAATCAACTTGACATTATGCCTCTTTAAATATCTATAATATATTTCATCTAAAATTAAAGGGAGATATCGCAAAGAGTAGCGATGTGTATCAATTTTATTTTTTTATTTAATTATCTTGCATAAAATTTCCACGTACAAAGTCAGGTCTATGTTCAAAATCTAAAATCTAAGTACGTAGGATGTTATTTATATGACGTTTAACGCGCTATTTCGCCGGAAACAAAGTTGAGCTAGAAAGGGTTAATGACGAAGTCAGGTGGAGTCTGCGTTTTCTTGTGGACAGGTTCGTGCAGATCTCATCTGGGACGTATCTTTTGCGCGTCGACAGAGAGCTCTTCCATTACGCTGGGCGGTGGTCCTCGTCGTTATATCTGGGACAAGTCAAGTCTGCTACGGTCGTTGATCTGATAGTCCCAGGATTTATGGCGGTCCTGATGGTCCATTTAGCGCTGACACGACTGGACGGAGGCGCACTTTCGCGTGTATACGCGCACGTGCGACAATACGGAAATATCTTGTTAAAAACAGGTAGCAGAAAAAGAGAGAGAAAGATTGAAAGATTGAAAGATTTGACTGCGATAGAATTATTGAATAACGGCAATAATTAAATATATCTAAACAACGTGACAAAGCAAATGATTAACTAATATTAACTAATATAAAACATATATAAATGTATAAGTTTAATGATTTAAAAAATGAGTAAAAAAATTTAAATAGAACTTCATAAACTTTCCTATTATATAATATTACGAAGAATTATATTTTGATAATTAATTAAATTTGTTGTAAAACAAAAAATCCGATATCACAAAGATAATTGTTTACATTGAATTATATTTAATTTCAAATAAGGATTTTTTTTTAATTGTTATAGCTTGAGTTAACAATTCGTAAAAATTTTTCTATTAGGAGTACAGTAAGTTGCCACGATGATAAAACAAATAAATTTATTACGATACGTATAAAATTTGATAGGCTATATTGGTTTTGTGAAAGGTGTATTAAGGAGCTAATTATCGCTAAGGAGGACGATCACTAAAGTAAACCTGAGAATACGTTCACATTTAATGGCGAATAAATTTAATGTGGCATCCCATAATAGTGGAAAACCTATTATACTTTCGCCAGATAGAATAATCAAATAGATAAATAAGTATCACGATTTAACATTTATTGCCATAATAAAATGATATCGCGTGCGAATACGAGTCCTATCAGAAAAAACAAGACATTATTTTTCGATTACGAATTCCCATGTGATCTCATCAATCTATTAGATAACATAAAAATTAAAATCCAACAATCGTCTCGTTTGCGATGTCATTTTAAAAAATACATTTGATCATCTCTTTTTTAATTAATAGTAAATACATTCAAGGATATCATGATATATATCATTATAAAGTAAATCGTTATAAACGCTTTTTATCGTTCTAAAGTTATGATTCTATATCATGATTTTATATCATATAAAACAAAAAGCCATTACAATTTATCAAACTCTTGTTTCCTTTCACTTTTGATGATTAGACTCGTCAAATTCATTAGACTTAGACTCATCAAACTTGAATGAATCAGCAAATATTTCTTACAGAAGTATCTCACAGAAGTATTTTTGTTTCATGCGTGGTATCGATCACTACGTTCGGATGAATAGGAAAATAAGATTACAATAGTAAGAATGAAATTTCACACGATTTCAATATTCATATATCATAACTAAATAATTATATTATTACAATGGCACAGTGATATTAACAATTTCTCAGCGCGATGTTGAGCGTGCCCACCGCGGGCACTTATTAAAGAGCGAGCATTTTTTATCAATACAAGGACAAGATGATAAAATTTGTAGGATATACAGTTCGCTCGCGCATACTGATATAACTCATCGATGAACTGGGATGTCAAGAGGTCTGTTCGTTTTAGCTGCACTGCTGCACTAGTGCAATTAGTTAGAGTGAAAGAAAGTTTGTCTCTTTCTAACTTATTGCACTAGTGCAGCAGCGCAGCTAAAACGAACAGATCCAAGGATTCATGCGCAATAAACGTGGGACCGCACGTTAAAGCGTCTCTAATTCATTAATAGCCCGCACGAATAATAATTGATATCGTATATAATGGCCGGACCGCGTTCGGAATCGCAACCGAGTATGGAACACGTGGGAAAAAGCATCACGAATTGGAGACATTCGCATCGTAATGTATCGAAGCTGAGTCCCATATAATTCGATTATATCACGCATTACGATTCCTCTTGCGATATATGTGCGCAATTAGCGTGCGTTCTGTCTTCTTTAATCGACTAATAAAATATAATCTATGCCTCAACCACGAGAGCTTGCACGTGTGATTGTCGCGGAACTCGCCAATAATACTTGAAGTGAATGTAATCTGTCGTGTTTTTTCTACGCATATATGTTACAAGTGCGTGCGAGTACGTATATGCGTTTATACAATCGAATAAACCGTCAGTTTTTTCATCTCTCGCAGACTCCAAGTATCTCTTCCTAGATGATTTCAGGTATAAATTAATCGCTCAATTTTATAGATTTTTTTCTTATTATTTTAAATAATCTTTCTAAAAGGTACTTATTTCGCATTGATTTTTCTCACTTCACAATATTTGTCATTATCGTACATATATCTTAAGTTTTCTTAAGTCGCGCTTAGCGTGCTGGGAAATGATTGAAGGTACTCAACGTTCTCGTAACCTTGATACCTTCGAGAAGTAACTGGATAAGGTAAAGGTAATAATCACGAGTACCTTTCTATACCGCTGTAGTCGCGCCAGCATACTGATTTCCCAGATAATTGTGCAATTGAATTTGTTGCACGACCTTGGTGCTACTGCAATGGTGATATCATCGCCGATTTAATTATTACATCCATTGCCGTTTTCGATTCACTGCGAATTCACCTTGTTGCCATATACGATAGTTTAATAATAACTTTAAGTGGTCTTAGATTTGTGTCAGCCGACTCGCAAAAATTTGGCGATTTTATTTCCCTATCACGTACTTTTGATATTTTAACATTAACAATAATAACAAATTCATATTTTACTAATAAATGAAATCGAGTATCTTAAATTATATATTATAATATATTAAATTAGTTAAATTACATTTAATTTTACTTTATATAGAGGATTTTTACACGACATATGTAATCTAATATATACATATGTAGGTTTTTTATGTAATATTAACTTTGTTACATATAAATTCGCACGTATTCAAACATGAAATTATTAGCAGCACGATATTTCGCAGACTTTCAGATGAACACGGAAATGCAATCAAACATATATCGACTGTAATTGCGAACGGTAGCCGGGACGTTAATAGCCGAGACGTTATGCAAACTTAATATCGCGGGCCCAGCAATAATAATCCTCGATTGCGCGATGTAAAAATATCAACTTTCGCAGAGAATACACATCTGAAAGCCGCTAGAAACGGCGTAAGGCGCATTTTATGGTAAAGTTTCTTGCATATGCGTATGCATGTAATTGGCGTTGCCGTGGGAAACGTGACACGAGCTCGCTCCTAAACCTGAAAAGCTGTTTCGAGACTGTAGATAGAGGTCGTCAGTTGATCGGTAGCCACATATGATTTGTGTTCAAAGCACAGGCGGGTATATCTCCGATATCCGCACGCAATAAATTACTTATTTGCTTGTCACAAGAAATGTCGAAGCAACGTTTCCCATCATCGTATCGTATCATCGTACGATGCTGTGTGAAGGTATTACATGTTAAGATTGAATAACTCCTTCTATACAATATTCTTTCAGACTATCAAGAAATTGTTAACGTTGATGTATCATAAACAATCATATATAGAATATTATGAATATAAACTTGTTATTTATTCTTATTTCTTAGTTTAATAAATAAGTAAATAAAATGTATAATTTTTAGTTAAAGAAATTAAAATCTGAGATTGATCTTTTTATATATTATGTTTGTTTCATTTAGTTTTTCGATCTTCGATTATATCTAAAAAAGTTTTTTTATTCGTCTATAAAAAAGTTTTTTTTCGTAAACGAGACTGCAAAATTTAGATAGACTCCAATATGCAAAGTAGTTATATTAGCAAATAACGATTAAAAATTATAATATAAAAATCAATTACAGATAGAAATAATAGATTAAATAATAAGTAGGTTAAAT